GCCCGCGATGGCGGCAGGCAGGGCCGCGACTGCGGCAGGGTAGGGCTGTGAGGGCTGCAGGTAGGGCCGCGACGGCGGCCGACAGGGCCGCGACGGCGGGAGGCAGGGCCGCGACGGCGGCCGGTAGGGCCGCGACGGCGGCAGGTAGGGCCGCGTCAGCTTCACGCAGGGCCACGACGGCAGGGCAGGCTCACGGGGCCCGCGACCGGGCAGGCAGGGACGGGAGCGCGCTTCGAGCAGGGCAAGAAAATAAGAAATTTTAAGTTGTGGGCCCTTAAAAAACGGTCCCACTAGGGAACCCGCTCAATACCATGTGAGAATAATACGAGGCAATGAAAATGACTAGGAAGCAGGTGGGTATAAGTAGTAAACCTACACAGCCATATTATCTACACCACTACAGCCTACACAGATGATCGCATATAAGTTTGACATCTTACGCATAGGCGATTGAGGGTCCCTACTCCTCTTAGTGGCAGTCACTCATGGACGCAGAGATGGCATCCTGGAAGTCCACAGGCACATACGTCGACGCTGTTCACCCACCTGGGGCGAACATCGTCAGTAGCATGTGGATTTTCAGGGTGAAGCGGCCGCCGGGTTCTGCGCATGTCTTCAAGGCGTGTTACGTTGCTCGAGGCTTTAGTCGGAGACAGGGAGTTGACTTCTTCCACAGCTCTCCCCTACCCCAAAGATGACCACTCTTTGGGTTCTGCTGCACGTCGCCGCTCAGCGTGACTACGAGCTTCACTCTCTTTACTTCAGCACAGCTTTGTTGCAAAGCAGCCTGCACGAGGAGATCTGGGTGTGCCGCCCACCTGGCTTCACTGGGTCGTTTCCTACAGGTACCCAGTGGAGCCTCCGGCGGCCAGTCTATGGTCTCCGTCAGGCGCCTCGCGAGTGGCACGAAACGCTGAGGACGACACTTGCAGCTCTTGGGTTCGCTCCTTCGACTGCTGACCCGTCGCTGCTTCTGCGCACCAACACTTTGTTGCCGCGGCTCTACATCTTCGTGTACATCGACGACTAGATCTTTGCCACTTCCGACAATAAGGGACTCGCCCACGTGAAGTCAGAGCTGCAAAAGAGACACACGTGCACAAACCTGGAAGAGCTGCGCAGCTATCTTGGCTTGCAGATCACCCGGGACAGAGCACGCCGCACCATCACCTTGACTCAGTCACACATGGTGCAGCAGGTCTTTCAGCGCTTCGACTTCCAGTACTCCTCGCCACAGTCCACTCCTCCGCCTACCGGTCACTCGCTCTCAGCTCTGCCTTCGGATGAGCCCGTAGAGCCGAGTGGCCCGTATCCAGTGCTTGTGGGCTGCCTCATGTACCTGATAACCTGCACTCGTCCTGACCTTGCATACCCTCTTAGCATCCTAGCGCGCTACGTTGCGCCTGGGAGACACCGACCAGAGCACTGGAATGCCGCTAAGAGGGTGATGCGCTACTTGTGCAGTCCGTTGGGCATGGGGCTCCTGCTTGGAGGGCGGGCTTGAGTTGTGCTCACTCGTCACGCGGACGCTTCTTGGGTTGACGACTTGGCTACGCAGCGGTCGTCACAGGGTTACACCTTCAGTCTTGGCTTCGACTCTGTTTCTTGGCGGTCTACCCGCTCATCTTCCGTTCTCAATTCCTGTTGTGAGGCTAAGATCTACGCAGGGGCCATGGCTGCACAGGAGTTACGCTGGCTCACCTACCTGCTGACCGACTTGGGCGAGCCGCCTCGTTCTCCTCCAGTTCTGTACCTCGAGAACAAGGCCATTATTGCCTTGTGTCGGGAGCACAGACTGGAGCACAGGACGAAGCACATCGCTCTGCGTTACTTCCTTGCTTGAGAGTTGCTGCAGCGTGGACAGCTTCATCTTGCGTACCTAGCCTCTCGGGCCAACACTGCTGGTATCTTCACCAAGGCACTTCAGCCTCGTGATCATCAGCATTTCTGTATTGTTCTAGGACTTATGCCTACTTGGCCTCACTTGCTCACTTCTTGACTTTGCTTGTACTGTGATCTATATGCTTATACCTGCATGCTTGCCCTTGTTATGTTTTGATCACTGTACTGCTTGTTCTGCTTTATATAACTCTGCATGTGAACTGGCCTTGTGGCCATTTGTTTGAGCTCACAGTGTGTTGTGACTTCGTGATCCACCCTGAGCTTGCTTTACTTTTCTTGACTGGTCTTGTGACCACTTGTTCTCCCTCACTTTGCCTATGGGGGTGTGTCAAACTCATTTGCTGCATATGGTGTAAGCTGTTGTGGGGTAGCCCATAAAGAGTACAACCCAATTAGGGTTTCCTACTTGTACTCCTGCATGCTGCTAGTTCATTGATTCTCGTTCGTACTTCTGACAACTACTGCTACTGCTGCTCGTGCTTCTGCCTTCCCTCCGTACTGCCCTACTGGTCGCTCGCCTCCTTTCTTGGCCCGCTATAACTTCTCTTCGTGGTAGCAGTCGGAGCGGTGACGGCGGTGGTGACAACCGCTGAAGTGGTGGCGGCGCCCGTCGTGGCAGTCGCGGTAGAGCTGTTCGGTGCGGAGTTTTTGGGGGTGGCTAGATGCAGCTAGTGCGGCGTCCGCGGGAGACCCTTACGCCCGAGCAGCTTTGTGAGTGGTACGCCAGTAGGTGTTGTGGCGGCGGCCATAGTAGCAGTCATAGTGGAGCTGTTCAGTGCGGAGCTTCTGGCAGTGGCCAGATGCAGCTGCACCGGCATCCGCGCGAGACCCTTACGCCCCAGCAGCTTCGTGATTGGTACGCTCAGAGTGGGGGGACTCCTTCGTGATTCACGGGGAAGAAGTGGGACTCCTTCACCATCACCCGAGCTCCATCCTCGATGGCCTGACACGTGTCAGAAAAGGCAGAGATTGGAAACAAATCTCTGAATCGCAGCAACCAGCAGCAACAAGCACACCATTCTCCCCCTTCCCTTGCTCCACTCCCTGCCCTGCACTTCCTCATTTCACTGCCCCCTCTCCTGCCCTGAGCTAACTCTTCCCCTGCTACCCACCAAGGACCTGCCAGCAAACTTTCCTTGCCACTCAGCCCGAGCTGTCCCGCCTGGCACTCCTACTCACCGCACTCACCTTCTCTGCACTCACCCTCCCATCACCGCACTCACCATCTCAGCACTCACCCTCCCATCACCGCACTCACCATCTCAGCACTCACCCTCCCATCACCGCACTCACCATCTCAACACTCACCCTCCCATCACCGCACTCACCATCTCAGCACTCACCCTCCCATCACCGCACTCACCATCTCAGCACTCACCCTCCCATCACCGCACTCACCCTCCCATCACCGCACTCACCTTCTCTGCACTCACCCTCCCATCACCGCACTCACCATCTCAGCACTCACCCTCCCATCACCGCACTCACCATCTCAGCACTCACCCTCCCATCACCGCACTCACCATCTTAGCACTCACCCTCCCATCACCGCACTCACCATCTCAGCACTCACCCTCCCATCACCGCACTCACCCTCCCATCACCGCACTCACCATCTCAGCACTCACCCTCCCATCACCGCACTCACCATCTCAGCACTCACCCTCCCATCACCGCACTCACCATCTCAGCACTCACCCTCCCATCACCGCACTCACCATCTCAGCACTCACCCTCCCATCACCGCACTCACCCTCCCATCAACGCACTCACCTTCTCTGCACTCACCCTCCCATCACCGCACTCACCATCTCAGCACTCACCCTCCCATCACCGCACTCACCATCTCAGCACTCACCCTCCCATCACCGCACTCACCATCTCAGTACTCACCCTCCCATCACCGCACTCACCATCTCAGCACTCACCCTCCCATCACCGCACTCGCCATCTCAGCACCTCCTCTCACAGAACCTACCTTTTGCATAGCCGTTTGTACGCCTTGGTCGGTGGCCACGTTGCTGATGGAGTCAAGCTTCATCTCGTGGTGCTTCATGATCTGCGTGTCCACTTTCCGCTTATTCGATCTCCTGTAGATTTGCTTCAGCAAGGTGCTATGCAGGTGTTCGAAGAGGTTGGTGCTATACTCTTGCACATTCCCAGCTCGTCAAATTCCAGGGATGAAATGAGTCATCAAGTGTGTTTTGATGAGGTTCCACTTTGATTTCTGCTCGGGGAAGGCAGTCGTGAGTAGTTTCACCAGCCTGGGATGGGTGGGAGCATGAATAAATGAAGGAGTATATGGATAAGCGTTCAATGTGTTAGGGATGGAATCGCTAGGGGAGTTAGATGGTTTAGGTTGTATCGTTTGGTAAGGTACCTTGTTGATTTGGCTTGTAGTTCGGAAAGACTTCTCTCGGTGTGAGAGGCGGCGTTGCAGCAGAGATACCAGTCAAGGTATGCTCTGATGGCCTCCAGCTGGGGCGAGCCGACAACGTCAGCCACCAAAAAGATCATCACCTGGATGCATGCAGCATGGTGAGTAGGAAAGGTGAGAGAAAAGATTGAAGGATCTTCTTCCCATGAATGACTTCAAGCGAGTTTACAGACGAGCTTAACAACAGACCGTCACATCACTACATTTGCATGAATCAACATAGCAGTGCCCTCTCCACCAGCCCATCTTCTCTCCCCTTCCTCTTCCGTCCCTGCCCAGCTCGCCCCACTCTTCCCACCCTCCCCCTTCCACCACTCCATGGTTTAGGCCTCAAAGCATCATACCTGCATGACCGATCGATGTTCAAAAGCTGCGACTTGTGCCCCGGTTTTGAAGTATTCGCTCTTCGGAAAACGCAAAGAGTTGATCCGTGTTTCCAGGGTGAGCCGTAGAAGACGCCTACGTATGGTGTGATGGAAAGATTTCGGATATGGGGGGCGGCAGATCAGGATGGAATAAAATTGAGCTGACACACTACCATGTGCTCACAAATGTGGGCTTGACATGCCAACATTGTAGCCATGGTTTATTGAATAGAGCATTGTGCATGTCCAGGCGGGTGGTCCAAGGGGCACTCACAAATCCAGAATTTTCATCATCGTTAGGTGTTGGGCGCGGATGCATTGCACGATGTGGTCCAGCATCCCCAGGTCTGCCTGGTGCATTGCACGATGTGGTCCAGCATCCCCAGGTCTGCCTGGTGCATTGCACGATGTGGTCCAGCATCCCCAGGTCTGCCTGGTGCATTGCACGATGTGGTCCAGCATCCCCAGGTCTGCCTGGTGCATTGCACGATGTGGTCCAGCATCCCCAGGTCTGCCTGGTGCATTGCACGATGTGGTCCAGCATCCCCAGGTCTGCCTGGTGCATTGCACGATGTGGTCCAGCATCCCCAGGTCTGCCTGGTGCATTGCACGATGTGGTCCAGCATCCCCACGTCTGCCTGGTGCATTGCACGATGTGGTCCAGCATCCCCAGGTCTGCCTGGTGCATTGCACGATGTGGTCCAGCATCCCCACGTCTGCCTGGTGCATTGCACGATGTGGTCCAGCATCCCCAGGTCTGCCTGGTGCATTGCACGATGTGGTCCAGCATCCCCACGTCTGCCTGGTGCATTGCACAATGTGGTCCAGCATCCCCACGTCTGCCTGGTGCATTGCACGATGTGGTCCAGCATCCCCAGGTCTGCCTGGTGCATTGCACGATGTGGTCCAGCATCCCCAGGTCTGCCTGGTGCATTGCACGATGTGGTCCAGCATCCCCAGGTCTGCCTGGTGCATTGCACGATGTGGTCCAGCATCCCCACGTCTGCCTGGTGCATTGCACGATGTGGTCCAGCATCCCCAGGTCTGCCTGGTGCATTGCACGATGTGGTCCAGCATCCCCAGGTCTGCCTGGTGCATTGCACGATGTGGTCCAGCATCCCCACGTCTGCCTGGTGCATTGCACGATGTGGTCCAGCATCCCCAGGTCTGCCTGGTGCATTGCACGATGTGGTCCAGCATCCCCAGGTCTGCCTGGTGCATTGCACGATGTGGTCCAGCATCCCCAGGTCTGCCTGGTGCATTGCACGATGTGGTCCAGCATCCCCAGGTCTGCCTGGTGCATTGCACAATGTGGTCCAGCATCCCCAGGTCTGCCTGGTGCATTGCACGATGTGGTCCAGCATCCCCAGGTCTGCCTGGTGCATTGCACGATGTGGTCCAGCATCCCCAGGTCTGCCTGGTGCATTGCACGATGTGGTCCAGCATCCCCAGGTCTGCCTGGTGCATTGCACGATGTGGTCCAGCATCCCCACGTCTGCCTGGTGCATTGCACGATGTGGTCCAGCATCCCCACGTCTGCCTGGTGCATTGCACGATGTGGTCCAGCATCCCCACGTCTGCCTGGTGCATTGCACGATGTGGTCCAGCATCCCCAGGTCTGCCTGGTGCATTGCACGATGTGGTCCAGCATCCCCAGGTCTGCCTGGTGCATTGCACGATGTGGTCCAGCATCCCCAGGTCTGCCTGGTGCATTGCACGATGTGGTCCAGCATCCCCAGGTCTGCCTGGTGCATTGCACGATGTGGTCCAGCATCCCCAGGTCTGCCTGGTGCATTGCACGATGTGGTCCAGCATCCCCACGTCTGCCTGGTGCATTGCACGATGTGGTCCAGCATCCCCAGGTCTGCCTGGTGCATTGCACGATGTGGTCCAGCATCCCCACGTCTGCCTGGTGCATTGCACGATGTGGTCCAGCATCCCCAGGTCTGCCTGGTGCATTGCACGATGTGGTCCAGCATCCCCACGTCTGCCTGGTGCATTGCACAATGTGGTCCAGCATCCCCACGTCTGCCTGGTGCATTGCACGATGTGGTCCAGCATCCCCAGGTCTGCCTGGTGCATTGCACGATGTGGTCCAGCATCCCCAGGTCTGCCTGGTGCATTGCACGATGTGGTCCAGCATCCCCAGGTCTGCCTGGTGCATTGCACGATGTGGTCCAGCATCCCCACGTCTGCCTGGTGCATTGCACGATGTGGTCCAGCATCCCCAGGTCTGCCTGGTGCATTGCACGATGTGGTCCAGCATCCCCAGGTCTGCCTGGTGCATTGCACGATGTGGTCCAGCATCCCCACGTCTGCCTGGTGCATTGCACGATGTGGTCCAGCATCCCCAGGTCTGCCTGGTGCATTGCACGATGTGGTCCAGCATCCCCAGGTCTGCCTGGTGCATTGCACGATGTGGTCCAGCATCCCCAGGTCTGCCTGGTGCATTGCACAATGTGGTCCAGCATCCCCAGGTCTGCCTGGTGCATTGCACGATGTGGTCCAGCATCCCCAGGTCTGCCTGGTGCATTGCACGATGTGGTCCAGCATCCCCAGGTCTGCCTGGTGCATTGCACGATGTGGTCCAGCATCCCCACGTCTGCCTGGTGCATTGCACGATGTGGTCCAGCATCCCCAGGTCTGCCTGGTGCATTGCACGATGTGGTCCAGCATCCCCACGTCTGCCTGGTGCATTGCACGATGTGGTCCAGCATCCCCAGGTCTGCCTGGTGCATTGCACGATGTGGTCCAGCATCCCCAGGTCTGCCTGGTGCATTGCACGATGTGGTCCAGCATCCCCAGGTCTGCCTGGTGCATTGCACGATGTGGTCCAGCATCCCCACGTCTGCCTGGTGCATTGCACGATGTGGTCCAGCATCCCCAGGTCTGCCTGGTGCATTGCACGATGTGGTCCAGCATCCCCAGGTCTGCCTAGTGCATTGCACGATGTGGTCCAGCATCCCCAGGTCTGCCTGGTGCATTGCACGATGTGGTCCAGCATCCCCAGGTCTGCCTGGTGCATTGCACGATGTGGTCCAGCATCCCCAGGTCTGCCTGGTGCATTGCACGATGTGGTCCAGCATCCCCACGTCTGCCTGGTGCATTGCACGATGTGGTCCAGCATCCCCACGTCTGCCTGGTGCATTGCACGATGTGGTCCAGCATCCCCAGGTCTGCCTGGTGCATTGCACGATGTGGTCCAACATCCCCACGTCTGCCTGGTGCATTGCACGATGTGGTCCAGCATCCCCACGTCTGCCTGGTGCATTGCACGATGTGGTCCAGCATCCCCAGGTCTGCCTGGTGCATTGCACGATGTGGTCCAGCATCCCCAGGTCTGCCTGGTGCATTGCACGATGTGGTCCAGCATCCCCACGTCTGCCTGGTGCATTGCACGATGTGGTCCAGCATCCCCAGGTCTGCCTGGTGCATTGCACGATGTGGTCCAGCATCCCCAGGTCTGCCTGGTGCATTGCACGATGTGGTCCAGCATCCCCACGTCTGCCTGGTGCATTGCACGATGTGGTCTAGCATCCCCAGGTCTGCCTGGTGCATTGCACGATGTGGTCCAGCATCCCCAGGTCTGCCTGGTGCATTGCACGATGTGGTCCAGCATCCCCAGGTCTGCCTGGTGCATTGCACGATGTGGTCCAGCATCCCCAGGTCTGCCTGGTGCATTGCACGATGTGGTCCAGCATCCCCAGGTCTGCCTGGTGCATTGCACGATGTGGTCCAGCATCCCCAAGTCTGCCTGGTGCATTGCACGATGTGGTCCAGCATCCCCAGGTCTGCCTGGTGCATTGCACGATGTGGTCCAGCATCCCCACGTCTGCCTGGTGCATTGCACGATGTGGTCGAGCATCCCCACGTCTGCCTGGTGCATTGCACGATGTGGTCCAGCATCCCCAGGTCTGCCTGGTGCATTGCACGATGTGGTCCAGCATCCCCAGGTCTGCCTGGTGCATTGCACGATGTGGTCCAGCATCCCCAGGTCTGCCTGGTGCATTGCACGATGTGGTCCAGCATCCCCAGGTCTGCCTGGTGCATTGCACGATGTGGTCCAGCATCCCCACGTCTGCCTGGTGCATTGCACGATGTGGTCCAGCATCCCCAGGTCTGCCTGGTGCATTGCACGATGTGGTCCAGCATCCCCACGTCTGCCTGGTGCATTGCACGATGTGGTCCAGCATCCCCAGGTCTGCCTGGTGCATTGCACGATGTGGTCCAGCATCCCCAGGTCTGCCTGGTGCATTGCACGATGTGGTCCAGCATCCCCAGGTCTGCCTGGTGCATTGCACGATGTGGTCCAGCATCCCCACGTCTGCCTGGTGCATTGCACGATGTGGTCCAGCATCCCCAGGTCTGCCTGGTGCATTGCACGATGTGGTCCAGCATCCCCAGGTCTGCCTAGTGCATTGCACGATGTGGTCCAGCATCCCCAGGTCTGCCTGGTGCATTGCACGATGTGGTCCAGCATCCCCAGGTCTGCCTGGTGCATTGCACGATGTGGTCCAGCATCCCCAGGTCTGCCTGGTGCATTGCACGATGTGGTCCAGCATCCCCACGTCTGCCTGGTGCATTGCACGATGTGGTCCAGCATCCCCACGTCTGCCTGGTGCATTGCAGGATGTGGTCCAGCATCCCCAGGTCTGCCTGGTGCATTGCACGATGTGGTCCAACATCCCCACGTCTGCCTGGTGCATTGCACGATGTGGTCCAGCATCCCCACGTCTGCCTGGTGCATTGCACGATGTGGTCCAGCATCCCCAGGTCTGCCTGGTGCATTGCACGATGTGGTCCAGCATCCCCAGGTCTGCCTGGTGCATTGCACGATGTGGTCCAGCATCCCCACGTCTGCCTGGTGCATTGCACGATGTGGTCCAGCATCCCCAGGTCTGCCTGGTGCATTGCACGATGTGGTCCAGCATCCCCAGGTCTGCCTGGTGCATTGCACGATGTGGTCCAGCATCCCCACGTCTGCCTGGTGCATTGCACGATGTGGTCTAGCATCCCCAGGTCTGCCTGGTGCATTGCACGATGTGGTCCAGCATCCCCAGGTCTGCCTGGTGCATTGCACGATGTGGTCCAGCATCCCCAGGTCTGCCTGGTGCATTGCACGATGTGGTCCAGCATCCCCAGGTCTGCCTGGTGCATTGCACGATGTGGTCCAGCATCCCCAGGTCTGCCTGGTGCATTGCACGATGTGGTCCAGCATCCCCAGGTCTGCCTGGTGCATTGCACGATGTGGTCCAGCATCCCCAGGTCTGCCTGGTGCATTGCACGATGTGGTCCAGCATCCCCACGTCTGCCTGGTGCATTGCACGATGTGGTCGAGCATCCCCACGTCTGCCTGGTGCATTGCACGATGTGGTCCAGCATCCCCACGTCTGCCTGGTGCATTGCACGATGTGGTCCAGCATCCCCAGGTCTGCCTGGTGCATTGCACGATGTGGTCCAGCATCCCCAGGTCTGCCTGGTGCATTGCACGATGTGGTCCAGCATCCCCAGGTCTGCCTGGTGCATTGCACGATGTGGTCCAGCATCCCCACGTCTGCCTGGTGCATTGCACGATGTGGTCCAGCATCCCCAGGTCTGCCTGGTGCATTGCACGATGTGGTCCAGCATCCCCAGGTCTGCCTGGTGCATGATGTCCGCCATGACAGCTAGGGTTGGATTTCCCCACGGCAATGAACCAACCTGCCACTTCCATAAAGCACACTGTGCAGGTGGTACAGCGCAGCAGGGAATGCGATGGTTAGGGAAACACACGACACCAATAGACACCAGAGGTTGCTGTGTCTATGAGCCTACTGGGCGACTCCAGCTGCCATGGGATCAAATACTTACGTCGATGTCGAACGTTGAGTACAACTTCAGCGGATTGTCATCCGCTCCGGCAGGGACTCCAGCTGCCTCGTCTCTAACCCACTGCTGTTGTGCGGGTGTGCGAACGTTGTTGGGTAGCTCCACAGATGACAGGCTTTCCTGTGGTGGGCGTTGGAATTTTTAGCATAAAGGGGACGAGCAAGAGAGACCGTTAGACACACACATATACAGAGATGAAATGTTCACAGCCAAGATTGCAGATGGCGCATGATTATATGCCCGGTCGACATCGCAGAGGGTTCGAGGCTTGCACTCCTGATCCCAGCACTTCCCAGCCCTCCTCCCCACCACAGCACATTCCTCCCTCCCCATCCGGGCACTCACCATCCCATCACTCACCATCCCAGCACTCACCATCCGTCACTCACCATCCCAGCACTAACCATCCGTGCACTCACCATCCCATCACTCACCATCCCAGCACTCACCATCCAAGCACTAACCATCCCATCACTCACCATCCCAGCACTCACCCTCCCAGCACTCACCATCCCAGCACTCACCATCCAAGAACAAACCATCCCATCACTCACCATCCCAGCACTCACCCTCCCAGCACTCACCATCCCAGCACTCACCATCCCAGCACTAACCATCCCATCACTCACCATACCAACACCCACCATCCCAGCAATCACTATCCCAGCACTCACCGTCGCAGCACTAACCATCCCATCACTCACCATCCCAGCACTCACCATCCCAGCACTCACCATCCCAGCACTAACCATCCCATCACTCACCATCCCAGCACTCACCATCCCAGCACTAACCATCCCATCACTCACCATACCCGCACTCACCATCCCAGCACTCACTATCCCAGCACTCACCGTCCCAGCACTAACCATCCCATCACTCACCATCCCAGCACTCACCATCCCAGCACTCACCATCCCAGCACTAACCATCCCATCACTCACCATCCCAGCACTCACCATCCTAGCACTAACCATCCCATCACTCACCATACCCGCACTCACCATCCCAGCACTCACTATCCCAGCACTCACCGTCCCAGCACTCACCATCCCAGCACTCACCATCCCATCACTCACCATACCCGCACTCACCATCCTAGCACTCACTATCCCAGCACTCACCGTCCCAGCACTAACCATCCCATCACTCACCATCCCATCCCTCACCATCCTAGCACTCACCATCCCATCCCTAACCATCCCATCACTCACCATCCTAGCACTCAGCATCCGAGCACTCACCGTCCCAGCACTCACCATCCCAGCACTCACCATCCCATCACTCACCATCCCAGCACTCACCCTCCCAGCACTCACCATCCCAGCACTCACCATCCCAGCACTCACCATCCCATCACTCACCATCCCAGCATTCACCATGCCAGCACTCACCATCCCAGCACTAACCATCCCATCACTCACCATCCCAGCACTCACCCTCCCAGCACTCACCATCCCAGCACTCACCATCCCAGCACTAACCACCCCAGCACTCACCATCCCAGCACTAACCATCCCAGCACTCACCGTCCCAGCACTAACCATCCCATCACTCACCATCCCAGCACTCAGCATCCGAGCACTAACCATCCCATCACTCACCATCCCAGCACTCACCATCCCAGCACTAACCATCCCAGCACTCACCATCCCAGCACTCACCATCTGGGCACTCACCATCCCAGCACTAACCCTCCCATCCCTCACCATCCTAGCACTCAGCATACCAGCCCTAACCATCCCATCACTCACCATACTATCACTCAACATACGAGCACTCACCGTCCCAGCACTCACCATCCCAGCACTCACCATCCCATCACTCACCATCCCAGCACTCACCCTCCCAGCACTCACCATCCCAGCACTCACCATCCCAGCACTCACCATCCCATCACTCACCATCCCAGCATTCACCATGCCAGCACTCACCATCCCAGCACTAACCATCCCATCACTCACCATCCCAGCACTCACCCTCCCAGCACTCACCATCCCAGCACTCACCATCCCAGCACTAACCACCCCAGCACTCACCATCCCAGCACTAACCATCCCAGCACTCACCGTCCCAGCACTAACCATCCCATCACTCACCATCCCAGCACTCAGCATCCGAGCACTAACCATCCCATCACTCACCATCCCAGCACTCACCATCCCAGCACTAACCATCCCAGCACTCACCATCCCAGCACTCACCATCTGGGCACTCACCATCCCAGCACTAACCCTCCCATCCCTCACCATCCTAGCACTCAGCATACCAGCCCTAACCATCCCATCACTCACCATACTATCACTCAACATACGAGCACTCACCGTCCCAGCACTCACCCTCCCAGCACTCACCATCCCATCACTCACCATACTATCACTCACCATCGCCATCCCAGCACCTCCCATCCTAGCACATCCCCACCCAGAGTGTACATGTTGACGTACCCTGTCGACATAGCCGAGGCTGCACGGCTTTATGCAGCCCTGGCCAGATTTGGTGCATGTCAGTTTCCCGGACTCGGGATAGTCACAAGCCCAAGCGTAAAGCAAAGGAACGACCCATCGCTCGATGCCTTCTGAGTCTAGCAGCATGACACCACTGCACAGTTTTCGGGCAGCCATGACACAGGGTGAAAACACATGCAGGTTAACAATATTCATTACTTCCAAGTGCCGCACTCCTTTTATGGGGCATGACTCACCAAATAGATAAAGTTTCAATAAACACCAGCATTTGCACCACTCACTTGTCTTTAAGGCGGAGAAGTGGCTCAAGTAGCTTAGCAATACACGCGTTGTAGAGCTCCACCTTCAAGTGCGACGGCATATTCGAGGGTGGGATGGGTAACAGCTCCAGCAGGGAGTGCCCAGGCCGCCCCCAGCGTTTTGGGAATGCAATATTCCCCAGTGTCATCATGACCGGGTGCGCCTTCTTCCTTCCGTTGTTGCTCAAGTGCGTGACATCACTGTATAGTATCAGCGCCGCAACAATCTTGTCCATGCCAATGAATTCCTGCACATAACGCAAAGAATGGATGGATTGGGTCAAGGGGAAAGGCAATGTCTCTGGGCGGTAAACATTGCTGACTCAAAAAGGGCACACCAGCTGAAAGCCGGGACCATGCATGGTGAGTGGTAGGTTTGGAACATATGCAAGGTGCGAGTGATGTGAGGGGAGTGTAAACTACCCATCACCTTGCACTCACAATCTCTGCACCTCCCGTCCCATCACTCACAATCTCTGCACCTCCCCTCTCATCACTCACCATCTCTCGCAACTGCAAATAGCTATCAATAGCACTCACCTGTGCTTCTTGCCACCATGTGCCAGTTTCTGCAGTGGAATATGCCCGATGCCCACCCTCGGTGTCCTTGTCTCTCCTCGGTCCCATTCTGAAGCCAGGCGCATTGTGCTTGTGCCGAAACATATCCGCCAGGGCCTGCAATATCATATACAGCACGTACACAAGCCGGTTAGCACCCTACACAGTACGAGAGTGACGCATGATGCCGCCAGGACAAACTGTCAAGCCAATGCCCTTCAGTTTCATCCCGGGTACCCGAAACTACGTCATCAAACTCACCCTCAGTGGATCGCGGTGAAGCATCACTTGCGGTGGAAAGCCCTCCACATAAAATGTGGTCAACTCGAATCCACGTCCCGTGTCAGCTAGATATTCCTTCTGCACCCTCTCCACATCCCGGAAGCTACGGGCATTCCCCTCTACCAGCAGCGGGGCCAACTCTGGATGGATAATTAGCTGCAGCACCTTGTTAGTATCCATGTTGGATAAGCCCATGCCGCCATTCAGCGAATCGAGTTGCTCTAACAGGTGTATCAAAGCGGGATGGATGTCGCTGCCATCGGGAAACGAAGGCCTGGCAGCGGGGTCGGATCCAGGATTATCTGGACATGTGGTTGGGGGCTGCTCCGTCCCTTGGCTGGATGACTGGGGCGTTGAGGGATGTGGAGAAGATCCCTCAGGATCAACACGACTCTCACAGCCCACGCCACTAGACGAGGCTGGCAGTGTCTCCTGAGTTGCATCTTGAGGCGCGGAACTGCCATGTCTGACGAAGCGCGGGAGCGATGCAGGCACAATGTAGGCTATGTTAGGGCGCCTAGGAACACTGCCTGCGCGATGCTCTGCATAGTTGGGGTTGCAGGGTGTGTTGCCAGCCCGGTGCCTTCCTAGCGCGAAATAGTCTGGAAACTCTCGTTCACAGTGTGCACACCGAACAGGACTAGAACGATCCATGGTAGCGCGACATTAGTCCGTCGTTCCTTTGCCTCTGCATATCGCCGTGGCGTTTGAATACGCACCCGCTACAAAGAGTCGATGAATAGCGAGAAGGCCATTCAGTATAAGGTAGCGGATGGACATCGTGACGGGAAATAACGCTACAGTGCGAGCTAGCTAGAGGCGCGACAGCCATGTGATTACGACGAGTCGCTGACGGCGCGACCTGGGGGCACGATATGAGATGCAATACACGAATCACGATGAGGCGGATCAGGAACCTTGATGAAATTAGGTTTGCAGCCTTCAGGATAGGGTTGGTGTGTGCATGCAGTGCCTGATTCCCTGTGCCTCATACCACGACTTCAAACTCTCGAAAGTCAAATGCGATGCTATTCACGTTTTAGACACAACACTGTATACGAGCCCTGGTGTGCACATAAGTGATAAGACGTATGCATAACAAAATGTGCCGTTTATAGAATTGAACAAAAATATTTACTGAACCTACGATCAAGAAATTTGTAACCATGGTTTCATTTAACCAAACCTACTGACTACTGACTATTGGACTAATATCGTCTAGGATAGGAAATCAGGCCTTGCCCCATATGACGGCCTGAATCGCAGTACAGTCCTGCGTGTTATGTCATCTTCCAAACAACCAACCTAGAGTGCTCCGAGTAGATGAAAATTGGATGGAAGGTCCACAGCACTAATTAGAGTCACCATACAAAGAATAAGATCAATCCAATCTTTGGCTGGTAGGTAATCGTGCCTTGCCCCTAAAGGCGGCGAAATCACATAAAAATCAACTAAACTAGCTCATCTTCCAAAGAACCAACCTAGAGTGCTCCGCAGGATCTGAAAATTGGATGGAAGGTCCACAGCACTACTTAGAGTCACCACACAAATAATCAGCTCAATCCAATATGTGGCCGGCAGGTAATCGTGCCTTGCCCCAAAAGGCGGCGGAAATCGCATAAAAATCAACTAAACTAGCTCATCTTCCAAACAACCATTCTAGAATGTTCCGCAGCAGCTGAAAATGGGGTGAAAGGTCCACAGTACTACTTAGAGTCACCACACAAAGGATCAGCTCGATCCAATAAACTCTCGCAGGTAATCATGCCTTGCCCCATAAGGCAGCGGAAATCGCATCAAAATCAGCTAAACTAGCTCATCTTCCAAACAACCAACCTAGAGTGCTCCGCAGGAGCTGAAAATGGGGACACCGGTCCACAACACTACTTAGAGTCACCACACAAAGAATCAGCTCGATCCAATATGTGGCCGGCAGATAATCATGCCTTGCCCCATAAGGCAGCAGAAATCGCAGCCATCTCAGCTATACTAGCTCATCTTCCAAACAACCATTCTAGAATGTTCCGAAGCAGCTGAAAATGGGGTGAAAGGTCCACAGTACTACTTAGAGTCACCACACAAAGAATCAGGTCAATCCAATATTTGGCGGGTAGGTAATCATGCCTTTCCCTTATAAGGCAGCGGAAATCGCTGCAAAATCAGCTAAACTAGCTCATCTTCCAAACAACCAACCTAGAGTGCTCCGCAGGAGCTGAAAATGGGGACACCGGTCCACAACACTACTTAGATTCACCACACAAAGAATCAGCTCGATCCAATATGTGGCTGGCAGATAATCATGCCTTGCCCCATAAGGCAGCGGAAATCGCAGCCATCTCAGCTATACTACCTCATCTTCCAAACAACCATTCTAGAATGTTCCACAGCAGCTGAAAATGGGGTGAAAGGTCCACAGTACTACTTAGAGTCACCACACAAAGAATCAGGTCAATCCAATATTTGGCCGGTAGGTAATCGTGCCTTGCCCCAAAAGGCAGCGGAAAACGCAGTGAAATCATTGAACTAACTTATTTTCCAAACAACCAACCTAGGGTGCTCTGCAGGAGCTGAGAATGGGATGGGAGGTTCATAGCACCAACTAGAGTCAACACACAAATAATTAGCTCAATCCAATATGTGGCGGGCAGGTAGTCATGCCTTGCCCCATAAGGCAGCGGAAATCTCAGCAAAATCAGCTAAACTAGCTCATCTTCCAAACAACCATTCTAGAATGTTCCGCAGGAGCTGAGATTGAGATGGGAGGTTCATAGAACTAACTATCTCCACCACACAAAGAATAAGCTCAATCCAAAATGCCTACGCTATCAATCGACGCATTTCCCCACAGGCCTGCGCAGAACTTGTACAGAGCAGCCTTAGGCAGCACGTTTGTCGAACGACCAACCAAACGTGCTCCGGCAAGGCCAATTTTGGGATGGGAGGCTCCTGATAATATTAGTAACATCCTCCTAGGAGCTCAGCCCAATCCAAAATGTATATGCTATCAATCGACGCTTTTCCCCATAGGCCTGCCCAGAACTTGTACATATCAGCCTTAGGCTAGCACGTTTGTCAAACGACCAACCAAAAGTGCTCTGGCGAAGCCCATTTTGGGATGGGAGGCTCCTGATACCAATAGGAACTTTAATACTAGGATGCTTAAAGAGTTTAAGCTTTATACTGAATCTAGTCAACAACAAGATTCCTCGCCACTAGAGCTTCCACAGTATCATTTCAACTTGCAAGACTCTATGTAGCATGTAAATGGATGAAAGGTTGCTCCTTGATGAGAATCACCTGTTGGGACGTGATTGGCATATTGGGAACCCTGTCAATTACAATCAAAACTCACAAGTATTCAACAGATAAAAAAAGTGCACAGTTATGTTAGATCTTGTGCATGCAAATACATCAGGTGTACTATCAAATTTGGATGGGTCCCGAACTGTCTAAGAGAACCCGTTGAAATAATGCTAGTGGCCATTGTGCAGAGCCGAATCAGTATCAGAGCAGATTCTGGCTGCAATTTTTGGATCGCTGGGCACGGGGGTATGTCTGTTGGTCGTATCGAGGCCTGTGACATCTGGTTGTCAGAATCTCCAGGTTTTCGGTTTACCAAAGGGTCATCTCCAGGTGCGCCGATTGCCAATTGCAGGCTAAGTGACGGGATGTGACGAGAAGTAGTTCTACCTTGATAGGGTCAGTGGACCGTTGCGAAATTCCTACCACTACTCCTAGGGTCAGTTCGGAACTTTACTGTTCTGCACTGTACTGCCACATTGCCAAGCACCCATCAAGCTGCCATGAAAACTACAGAGCTGCCCTGCCGCACAAACCACAAAGCTGCCACGCAAACCACAATTCTGCCATGTGGTGCTGGCCACTGTCGACGTTTTGTACTGTATCAAACCAACATTATCATCAACCGCCATGAACCCCAGCCCACGGTCACGCCTAGCAGTTCCTCTGCCACCATCATCTCTCACGACTCTCTGGTCCTCTGCTACCGTTCGCCAAGCAGTCACGACGCTTAAAGACCAACACCTTCACGAGGGCGTCTTTCCTTCGGCACCGCAAGACAGTTTTTCCCCCGCTTTTCCCAGCGACTTACCTCTGACATGGTCGAACCGCGACCCACGCGACTCTCCTATGCAAACATAATCGACCTCTCGCTTCCACGATATCCTGTTCCGTCCGTTTATGACGGCCTCTCAGAATGGCACGTATCATAGCGCCACGTACAGCCTTACCCTCTGCGAACATAGTAGCTTTTAGGGCCTCCCTAGTATCACCCACGTCCAGTTTCTTTCCGGGAGTCAAGCCGCGCCGACTGAAAGTCCATACCAAATCGTTATAAGTGGGTCGCGTAGAAAGCGCCCGTTCCCGAATCGGGCTGCTTCAAACTCTGAGTACCCGACCCGTCAAGTGACCGCGACCGGAACACGCTGTACGTTTTCGGTTCCTAAATGATGGCTCATTTCTGCATCTCCTGAATGTTTCCGAAGACATGTTTTGACACTAGTAGCACTTACCAATCCACAGTGCAAACCGATATACTTTGTTACGTTAGAGTTTCCCAGCGTTTCCCGATTTTCTCTGGCCCTGTCTGCATAATGTCGACTAAACTGCAGGTCTCGAAGTCTGGGAAGAAAAACTCTGCCAAAGGTGTCTCGGCACGATCTCCCAGCAAGGTCAAGCAGACTACGAAGAAAAAGGGAACTGTCGGTCAGCCGAAATCCAGGTCATCTAGCGGTGAGGGCCCACCTGGGGGCGATATTCGCAAGTCCAACCGCCCTCGAAAGGTGAGAGTGTGGTACGCAGAAGGTGCGGATGCTACCGAAGAAGACGCTGAACCTGTTACAGCTGCGCGGAACAAACGACAGGGCGACAATTTGGACGAGGCAGAGGCCAACGGCAAGGCGGGAGACAAGGCCGAGGCTGAGGACGAGGCTGAGGCCGAGGCTGAGGATGAGGGTGAGGATGAGGCTGAGCACGAGGCTGAGCACGAGGCTCCACACGAGGCGGAGGAGGATGCGGAGGAAGATGAGGAGGAAAATGCGGAGGAAGAGGCGGAGGAAGAGGCGGAGGAAGAGGCGGAGGAAGAGGAAGATGGGGAGGCGGAGGATGAAGAGGGTGGGGAGTCCGGCAATGAGTTGGAAGATGAGTCCGGGGACGAGCCGTCGGACGAGGAGGGTGGAGAGTCGGACGATGAGCAGGGGGATGAGGAGGAGGCAGTGGAGAGGAATGAGAAAAACGGTACGGCGGAAATGCCTGCCTGCGCGGATGCTCATAAGCCTGAGGTCACGAAAAAAACAAGCTTTGACGAGATGCTGGAAGAGCAGGATGACAGTGAAGGTGATGCCGTGGAGGATGAGGCTGTGGCAGAGGAACGAGCTTTGCTGCTTGGGAAGCTGAAGGCACTTGATGAGATCCAGGAACCTGTTGTTAGCTCGAAGCTCGCTGGAAAGGGTGCGAAAGCACAGTCGCGTTCAGGACCCTCTAAGGTTCCGGCTAAGCCACCTCCAGGGAGACATGCTGTCGCCATGGCTAAGGGTAAGGAGAAAGTGGTGGAGAAAGTGGTGGCGAAAGAGAGTAGCCCTCGTGGAAAGACGAAACGGGAGGAGTCCGCCTTGGTGGTTGGAGGTGCATCAAAAAAGCGAAACACCGGTGAAGTTGCGGGCAAAACGAAGGCAACTCCAAAGGCAGCAGGCGCTGGGGCAAGAGGGGTAAAGGCTAAAGCGGGCGGTGGGGCTAAAGTGACCGCTAAGAAGGGCAACACCAAAACCGATGGTGAGAACGTTGCCTCGTTAAGGTGCATGTTTCAGTGAACTAGAGCTATTGCCCTTATGTGGCCTTTCTATTTGTGGCATGTTTGTTGATGTCCCAAGGCACTGTCCCATCTTTTCTCTGTAGTCCCATCCCTGTTGTCCCTATCCTTGCCGTACCCTATCCTCCCATCCCTGCAGTCCCATCCCTACCGTCAGCTCTCGTCCTATCCCTGCCGTAAACCAATCAGCCCATCCCTTCTGTCTACCTTCCTCCCATCCCTCCCGTCACCCATCTCCCATCCCTCCCGTCACCCAACTCCCATCCCTTCTGTCACGTTCCTCCTATCCTTTCTGTCACGTTCCTCCCAGCAGCACCCAAGGACTTCGGAGCTGCGCCACCAGTGAAGGTTCTCAGCCTAGCCACCAAGCGTTTCGATCTCATACCCGCCAAGAAAACCCCGTTTGTGGCGGCATCCGGCGATCGCCGCCGGGAGCGTGGTGGTGTAACAAACGCGGACCTTGACCAATTCGAGCGACGCGTGATGGCGAGGTTTGCCGAAATGTTGTCGGCCATGGGTCGGGGTGCTGGCCAATCCCTCCCAATCGGAGCGCCTGCAACAACACCTCCCCATTCTGGCCCGAGCACCAGCTCGTCGGAAGACCTTCCCTCTGGCAATAGTCCCCTGGCAAACCACCGCGAAATCGTCTACAAAGCCGTAGTCGACTTCAAGGTGCGTTGCCTGTGATACACTGCGTATGTGTTTCCTAGACTCCTACTCGACCAGTCTGCACCCTCACCCCTCGATCCTAAACCCCAATTGCTTCCCCAACCAGAACTAGGGAGTTGAAGCTTTTCCTAAACACTGACTCACGCTGTGCCAGTCCATCCCTCCTACCCTCAACCCTAAACCCCACTTTCTTCCCTGTCCAGGTCTAAGGGAGTGAGGCAATACCTAAACCCTGACTCCCTTCTGCCTGCCTGCCCCTCTTCCCTCAACCCGAAACCCCACTTGCTTCCCTGTCCAGGTCTAAGGGGGTGAGGCAATACCTAAACCCTGACTCCCCTCTGCCTGCCTGCCCCTCTCCCTTCAACCTTAAACCCACCTGCTTCCCCATCCAGGTATAGGGAGTTGAGGCTTTACCTAACCATGACTTATGCTTTGACTGTCTGCACCCACTACCATCAACCCTAAACCCCACTTGCTTCCCCATCCAGGTCTCAGGGGGTGAGGCAATACCTAAAACCTGACTCCCTTCTGCCTGCCTGCCCCTCTCCCTTCAACCCTAAACCCCGCTTGCTTCCCCATCCAGGTCTAGTGAGGTGACGATTTACCTAAACCTTGACTCCCCTCTACCTGCCTGCCCCTCTACCTTTAACCTTAAACCCCACCTGCTTCCCCATCCAGGTATAGGGAGTTGAGGCTTTACCTAACCATGACTTCTTCTTTGACTGTCTGCACCCACTACCATCGACCCTAAACCATGACTTATGCTTTGTCAATCTGCCCCCTCTCTCCTCAACCCTAAACCTCTCTTGCTTACCCAGCCAAGAACTGGGAGATGGAGCTTCTAAACCTTGACTCATGCTCCAACAGTCTGTCCCTTCTACCCTCAACTCTAAACCCCACTTGCTCCCCCATCCAAATCTAGGGAGCTAAAGCTTTCCCTAAACCTAGACGCATGCTCCAACTATCTGCCCACCTTACCCTCAACACTAAACCCCACTTGCAAACCCTTACCTCTTGTTTGCATATCTGCCACCCATCCCCCTCCACTCTGCAGGAACTTGCTAGGCGTGTTGCAACACATCTTTGCTTCAACATTGAAGCCTCAATTATTCAGTTCTACCCATCTGCGGAGGAGGCCTTAGATCATGGGTTTAGCGAGTTTGTGTCCCCGCAGGTTCTTGCCTCGTTGCGTGTGCTCTTTCAGCACAATTTTGCCAGCACCAGAGGGGTTTTTTTTTACCAGCTGTCTTCAACTAGGACTAGTATCAACGGCTGGATGAGAAAGGTGGCGCTCACGGCGTTGGGTCGACAGGCGAACAGGTGTTACATCGAGAGGTTACCAGCAGATCTACTTGCACCACTCGAGTTCTACACGGATGAGGAACTTATTGAGCGTTACAAGGATGGTGAGTTTGTATGCAGCCTTTGATCCCGTAGTTGCTGTTATGTGTGTTGCAATCATATGTATATGTATGATTTCGTTCCTCCTTTCCACTTTCGGTTGCCCCCTATTCACCATAGAGTCAGCAATTTTCATCCCTTTGTTTTCTATCACCACACAATCCCATTACAGGGGAGAGGGGACTAGCTTGGCACCGTGAGCTCCTCATCCCGTTCGGCAGCCTCATCTTCTCGGTGTCCATCAAGTTGGCTTTGGCGCGCCGTGGGGTCAATACCGAGAAGATTAAGACCCGCCAGCTGGGCTGGATCTTATATGCAGTGAGTTTATGGACATGACCCTATGTTTGATGCCACGTATGCGGTGAGCCATCTAGTGTTTTCATGTGTTAACCCTTGTCTGTTCATCTATTCCACTACATCCCCACCTCATCCCCACCATATTCCTACAGTTCGAGTGGCCAATCCTTAACAATGCGCCCGATGGGAAGTTGAGCGGCAAGTGGGAGTACAATCGGATCCAGTACGAGGAGATGTGCACCCGTGTGAAGCAGGAGGTCGAGATCGCTGTCATGGACCATGGTGTCCCATACGCCAGCAACACGAACACATTCAACTTCCCAACGGCGTCTACATCGACGCGTCTGACATGGAGACCCTTGTCAGCAGGGTGCAGGTAAGTCATCCATAGGACCAAAACCTTGCTGAGATGGCTCCAACACAATGCTCATGTGGCACGAACGCCGTGCTGTGGCACCAGCTTTGTTGCATCACTCACCATCTCTTCCGTCCCCTTCCCCTTCCTCCCATCTCTTCCGTCCCCTTCCCCTTCCTCCCATCTCTTCCGTCCCCTTCCTCATGTCTCTATTGTCCCCTTCCTTCCGTCCCCCATGCCTCTTTGCGCAGGCAGCACGACCTGCACCAGCCCGGGTTGTCACCCCCAACCCGTGATCACAGAGATCTACAGCAGCACTAGGGGGACATGTGCGGAGGGGCTTAGTAGTGGCAGTAGCAATCTGCAGCAGCAGCAGGGGGATCGGTGCGGAGGGGCTTCGCAGTGGCAGTAGCAATCTGCAACATCAGGAGGGGGACAGGTGCAGAGGGGCTAAGCAGAGGCAGTAGCAATCTGCAGCAGGAGCAGTAGCAATCTGCAGCAGGAGCAGGGGGAACGGTGCAGAGGGGCATTTAAGTGGCTGTAGAAATCTGCAGGAGCAGGAGGACAGAAAACGAGGGGCATATCAGTGGATGCAGCAACTTGCAACAGCAGCAGGGGGAAAAGTGCAGAAGGGCGCATGAGTGGAAGTAGCAATCAGCAGGAACAGCAACGGGACGGGAAAACGAGGGGCATAGCAGTGGATGCAGCAATCTGAGACAGCAGCAGGGGGACACGTGCGGAAGGGCACATTAGTGGCAGCAGCAATCTGCAGGAACAGCAGGATGACAGGAAAACGAGGGGCATAGCAAAGGCAGTAGCAATCTGCAGGTGCAGAGGGGCGTAGCAGCGGCATTAGCAACCTGCACGAGCAGCAGGGAGACAGGTGCAGAGGGGCGTAGCAGCGGCATTAGCAACCTGCAGGAGCAGCAAGGAGACAGGTGCAGAGGGGCGTAGCAGCAGCATTAGCAACCTGCAGGATCAGCAGGGAGACAGGTGCAGAGGGGAGTAGCAGCGGCATTAGAAACCTGCAGGAGCAGCAGGGAGACAGGTGCAGAGGGGCGTAGCAGTGGCAGTAGCAACTAGTAGCAGCAGCAGGGGGGACAGGTGCGGAGCAGCAGGGCCAGCAGGGGGACAGGTGCGGAGGAGCATAGCAGCGGCAGTAGCAACCAGTAGCAGCAACAGGGAGACAGGTGCGGAGGAGCTTAGCAGTGGCAGTAGCAACCAGTAGCAGCAACAGGGAGACAGGTGCGGAGGAGCATAGCAGTGGCAGTAGCAGCCAGCAGTAGCTTTAGCAGAAGGATTTAGTAACCTTTAATCAGTGTAGTGTAGGAGCAGTACAGTTGTAATGTATTGTTTTGCTGTATCTACAGGTACACTATGCTGTATTTTGATTTTGCAATAAAAAAATATTTCAAACAGAAATTTCATGCAAATGACAGTTTGGTATAGGGCCAACCCAAGACACAGAAGACTCTAGATTGGGACAATACTTGGTTCAACTTGGGACAAAGTTGAGAGTAGGCTTGGAGAAAAAATGGTCATCAGAATCACCTAAACTTTGGCCAAACATAGCCCAAAGTTCATCTTAGCAACTATACCAATATTGTACCAAACAATGAGACCATTAATGGTCCAATTTTGGATGGAAACACCAAAGTTGGAGCAATAATTGACCAATATAATAGGGGGGTTTTTGTGATGTCCTTGAGCCTCTCTACGTGAAAACGCAGCAGCAGCCGGCTGATTTCCTTACGAAGCGGCTAGCTAAGGAACCTCATTGGCACTGTGCTAAGCTGAGTGGCATGAGCCTTAACTAGGCTCAGGAATAAGAGTGCAAGCAGGCGACTGCTTGAGGGGGAGTTTGTTGGGTGCAAAAATTTATTTTTGCACGTCAACCAGCCGATTGCGTCGCATTTTGCATTTTTTGTGTGTGCGCATTTTTCATTTTCATCTTGCGATGTTCTGTGCACATTTGTTCTTGCATTTTGTGTGTTTTGTTTTCATTCGTAATTGCATTTTGTGTTTGTGCATTTTCAGTTTCGTTTCCACTGTTCCCATGAAGCGCTCAAATGAGGCTCACATGATGGCTCAAATGAGGCTCACATGATGCGCTCAAATGAGACTCCCACGAAGTCTCAAATGAGGCCCTCATGAAACTCAAATGAGTCCTCATGAAAGTCACATGAGAAATATTTCATACGAGGCTCATACGGGCGAGCTTCGAATGATTTATGCGAGGCACATCGAAGTTCCATATGCCTCGAATATTTCATACGAGGCTTATGAGAGTGAGAGGTGTGCAGGGGGGCTCGAAAGTTTGACTGGTCAAAGGGGGTGATGTTTGACCGTTTTCGCGCGAGTCAAAAGGTTGTGAAAATCAGGACCGTGTGTGGGTCCTGATACACGCGTGTGGCCGCGTCTTATTGGGCGTGCACTGTAATGCATGATCGCAACAAGACAACACCAATTTCGGCCCTGTCTCGCACTGTAGATTGCGCATGATTACGATCATGACGCGCTGTACAGCACGACCGAGAAAAATCTCGGTCGTGCGTGTGGCACAAGGGGTGCTCGGAATTTACAGTTGAAAAACTGTTTTCCGAGCTGACTCACGGGACGGGAAATTTCTCGCGAAAGTGATTTCGCATTGCGGAATCATTTCGACACAGGTGCAAATCGGTTGATCCGTTTTTCAAACGGTAAAGACCGTTATATAACTGTGAGCTTGCATGAAGACATTGGAGCTACATTGGAGCCACGTGCGAGTCTCATGAGTGTACACATTTGAGTCAGCAGAGGCGATTGTTACAAGTGCAATTAAAAGAAAGTTTTTAACAACAGGAGGATATCGGCCAATGCTCAAGGAGTTCTGCAACTGTTGCAAGATACAGCTTGGAGAAATCGAGGGAGCTAGTTAAACAACTGTTTTCTACTTGCTCCTGCCTATGCGTACAATTTATATATATGAGTGCTTGTACCTGTCAAGATTAATATACTGCATTCGCGTTTTTCAAGCTCGCATTCTACTACTTCGTATTGACGAGAGTAAAAAGATTTCCTTGGTGCTACCGAAATTCTCCTTGACCAGTTTGTTCGTCCTGCAAGCTGAGCAAGGCATAACTACTCACATGCTGTTTTCTACGCCCTTGGTTAGGAGGTGACAAACTGTCACACTTGAAGGGCTGCAAGTGATGTTAAGTGTTGCCAAGTTAAGCTTGTAGTTCAAGCTTTAATCTCTTCCTCATAACGTTATAGTTGTCAACAATCACTGTACTGTTTGCTGTCTTTTATATAACTCTCCATGTGGACCAGCCCTGTGGCCATTTGCTTGTGCTCAGAGTGAGTGGTGACTTTGTGATCCACCTTGAGCTTGCTTTGCTTTTCTTGACTGGTCTTGTGACCCCTTGTTCTCCCCCACTTCGCCTATGGGGGTGTGTCAAATTATATTGCTACTTCTGTTGTGTGGGCTATAGTGGGGTAGCCTATATGTGTTGAAAACTATTGGGATCTAGAGGCTACTAAGCACACCTTTAATTTACACTTCACAATCCCCACGGGGTCACCTCCAAGGGTCCTTGGGTGCCTGGCAAGGCCAGCCCCTATCCAAGGGTCCGTGTTATGTAGAGGGACACGCTAAGTATGAAGACAATCGCGTGCATTAGAGCATTCCCAAAACTCCTTGCGCAGCGTTGTGACGACGAACTGGTCGTGTGCAGAAAGTTCTCTTAACGAGAATACGATGATAGAGAAAAACTTCACTCAAATGATTGATTACAACTGAACACAAGCACGCATTTATATTTCACCTAGCATACAAGCATAAGAAAGGACAAAGCAGTTGTTTAACTATACTTCAGGACTTCGCCAGATGCGCCAAGGAAAACGGTTGTCGAGCTGCTTCGGAATTTGGCTTGGTTCTCCCCTGTAGAATAACTGTCTTCAAATTTCATGTCTGCCAAATTCCCCTGCTGACTCCCCTGGTGAACGTTCGCGACTTCTCGTGCGCAATCATAAACGCTCGTGCGAGATTACCGTTTTCACGAAGTCTCACAGTTGAAAAACGGCTTTCACCGTTTTTCTCCTACATCAAAATTGTCCCTTTACGCGCGCGATCTTTTCGGCGAAGTTATCCGTAAGTCGAGTCAACGCGGGATACGGTTTTTCAACCGTAATCCCGAGCACCCCCACGACTGCATTCATGCACGACCGATATTTCGGTCGTTCTCTACAGTTCGCTGTACTACGCGTGGGCAGGGCGATCATTCGCTCTGTTTTGTTGCGATCGCGGGCCATGCCACGATCGCAGCAGTGCAAAGGAACATGCGCGGGCCTGAGGGCACACACGCGCGATCAGGACCCCTCGTGCGGGTACCGATTTCCTCGCGCTGTTGACCTTGACCATCTTGAGAATTCTAAGGGTCAACATTGACCCCTCGTGAACACCCAAGATACTTCATGAGCACACACGAAAACAGAAAAACGAAAACTAAACATGAACACTCACAAATATTCATGAACAGCGCACAGACTTCACGGAATTTCGCGAACACAGTCACGAACACAGAAATTCACAAACACACAAATAACACACGCTTAGGGAAACTCGCGAAGCAACGCAAACGCACACAAAGTCTCGCATTCACACAGGGACCTTCACGAACACTCACGAACGCAACCTTTGACGGGAACTCACATAACTCATGAACCGTTGAGCCGATTCACAAGCCGTAAACACAGAAACGTGAAGCACATAAATGCGCAATTCACACACAAGAAATTACATTGAGACGAAACACCTCATTTTCACTCAATGTCGACACATAGGCGTGAGAAACTGAACGAGAATGGAATGACTAAGGGAAAGTTGGGTACAAGTACAAACCCTAGAAAGCTGTACCCCATATGTGCTACCCCACTATAGCCTACAGTAGCTATGTCATATAAATCTGATACACCCCCATAGGCAAAGTAGGGGGGAACAAGGGGTCACAAGACCAGTCAAGCAAAGCAAAGCAAGCTCAGGGTGGATCACAAAGTCACCACACATTACGAGCACAAGTTCAAGGCCACAAGGCCAGTTCACATGCAGGATTACATAAATATATAAGGCTAGACAAGCAAGAGCAGGTGTTTATATATATATATATTTGCAACAGTACAAACAAGGTCAAGGGGTGAGCAAGTGAGGTAAGGTAGGCACAAGACCCAGCTGAGTACAGAAGCGCTGATGATCACAAGGCGCAAGTGCCTTGGTAAAAATATCAGCAGTGTTGGCCTCAGAGGCCACGTACGCAAGGCGCAGCTGACCACGCTGCTGCAGCTCACGAGACAGGAAGTAGCGGAGAGCAATATGCTTCGTTCTGTGCTCCAGTCTCTGCTCTCGACACAAGGCCAGCATGGCTTTGTTGTCTA